GTTTTTCTCAATTTTGGGTACAAATTTGTCACACACACACACACACACACACACACACACACACAGACACTCACACACACAGAGAGACACACACACGCATATATATATATATATATATATATATATACACATATGTAAATATCAATGGGATCATAAAATAATCAGATTTTCCCTTTAAAGTATAAACAAGACTTAATATCTTAAGTAATTTTCCTTCTGAAGTAGATATATCTTGATGTAATGTATCTTGAAATCAAATAAGACAAAATTACTAGGAAAATATTTTTTTTTGCAGTGAAAATGAAACCGCTTTGTATCCATAATTTGAGGTATTTCTGAATGAAATGGTGGAATCGATCTTAAAAAGTGAAAAGGGAAATTCGTTAGATTTTTTTCTTGAGAATAATGTCAGTGACGAGTTGCTCACAATAACCGCAGGAGCATGAAATAAGAATGTAAATACGGTGGATTTAGATTTCATGTTGACTTTAAACTCAGCTGAGGACTGCAGTGAGTCTAAAGAGCTCTGACAGAGCAATAAAACGCTCCTGAGGGTGCAGTCAGACAAACCACCTATTGTCACGCAGAAATCACAATAAAACTGACGCGTGTGTTTGTGCAGTGTGGCCTGTGTCACGGCGCTCGCTGGAGAAACACAAATCTCTGAACGAACACTCGGACGTGAAGCGGTCGGGGCTCTCTGGCTCCCATCAGAGAGAAAAACAACTCTTAAATCAAGCTCGGTCCTTCAGCAGGGCTGTTTAAGAGCGTGCGCATTAATTGGCCATTAGGAAAGAGAAACACACAAAGACAGTTTAGTTTGTGTACACATTCAGCACTTGAGCTCATGTTGTATTTGGGGTTTCTTTAAGCCGCCCCGAACTGAAATTCAACAGTTTGCTCCTTTATACTGAATTACGTGTGTGTTCTTTACACTAATCACTCCAAAGGTGATTAAGAGTGCAAACTAATGATGTTGTTTTAACTTAACTCTGCCTGACCCGCACCGGCTAAT